ACAATTTTAATAACTCTCTACCTGGTAGAATTTGGATCAAATGGGATGCTTCTCGTATTAATTTTAATTGCATTTTCTTCTAATCAATTTATTCATGGCTATATTTTGGTTAATTCTTCTTGTAAGGTTTATATTACTGTGATTTATGCGGCTAATACTACTGCTGATCGTACTTCTCTTTGGAATGATCTTTTAAATATTGCAAATAATATTTCGTCTCCTTGGGTTATTCTAGGAGATTTTAATTTTTTTAGATTTTCTAATGAAAAATCGGGTGGTTTTTTAGCTAATTATGCTAATATGGAGGATTTCAACAATTTTATTTTCAATGCTGGTATTAAAGATCTTTCTTCGGTTGGTCATTTCTTTACTTGGTTTAGCCAGCAAGTAAATTCTCCAATCCATATTAAATTAGACCATGTTTTAATCAATGACAATTGGTTGAATGCTTTTCTGAATTCTTTCTATCTTGTGCAAAGTCCTTTATGCTCTGATCATTCTCCTCTTATTATTTGTAATTATCGTATTAGGCATGTCAATAAAAGATTTATTTTTAAGAACTATTGGTGTAACAAGCATGATTTTTGGGATATTCTTATTGAAGCTTTTGCTAGTTCTCCAGTTGGTAATTCGGTTAATGCTCTTTATGGGAAATTGAGGCTTCTTAAGAATTTGATAAAGAATCAAGACTAGGTTTCTTCTCAAGATCTCAGGGCTAAAATTGATAATCTGCAAAAGAAACAGGAAGATTGTATTTCTAAAATCCAATATAATCCTTTAAACTTGGACCTTAATGCGGAACTTAAGAATATCAATTGCTCTCTTAGTTCTAATATATCTTTGTGGTTCTCTTGGATTCAGCAAAGAGCTAAAGTTGTCTGGTTATCCAAAGGAGAGGATGATTTAGGTTTTCTGTATTCTAAAATTTGGCATAGACATAACTTGAATAACATCAAGGCCATTTATTCTTCTAATAGGGTTATTTCTGATCAGAATGAGATTGTTGAGGCTTTTGTTAATCATTTTAAGGATTTTTTTAATACTTCTAAGCCGATTTTCTCTTCTTCTTTTTCTATCCATGTTGGAAATAAAATTCCGGATGGTTATATTTCTTCTTTAATTGCCCCGGTTACTATTGATGAGATTAAGAAAGTTGTATTTGCTGGATCGTCTTCATCTACCCCTGGTCCAGATGGCTTTAATTTTGAGTTTTTTTAAGAAAAGTTGGGATATTGTGGGGCCTAGTTTTTGCAATGTAGTTTTTTATTTTTTTAAAACTGGTTATTTATCTAAAGTTGATAAGGCTACAGCCATTACTCTAATCCCAAAGAATAGTAATGCTTCTCAGGTTTCTGATTTTCAGCCTATTTCTCTATGCAATGTTTTTTATAAAACTATTGCTAAAATTCTTGCTTTAAGAATGAAGGAAGTTATGCCCTTGATTCTTCATTATAGTCAATCTAGTTTTATAAAGAAAAGCATATCTACTGATAATATTATTCTGGCTGCGTAATTATTAAGAGATTTTAATTGTCGGGACAAAGAGAAATTCTTTTGTTCCAAGTTGGATCTACACAAAGCTTTTGATTTTATTTCTAGAGATTTTATTTTTAACAGGATGGCTCAAAAAGGTTTTCCTCTTATCTTTTTTTCTTGGGTTAAAGAGTGCATTGAAGATATTCATTTCTCTATTATTCTTAATAATGCTCTTAACGGTTTCTTTGGCTCTTCCTCTGGTATTCATTCATCAAGGATGTCTGCTTTCCCCATATATATTTTGTATTGTTATGGATGCATTTTCAAATCTTATTGAAGATAAATCAAAACTGATTAAGTTCGAAGGTATTATGGCTGGTGAGAATTCTATATCTCATTTATTATATGCTGATGATGTTCTAGTTTTTGGTAAAGCTTCTATTAGGAATTCTTATAAGTTAAATGAAATTCTGGATTATTTTATAAAGTTTATGGGCTTAAGATCAATCAAGGTAAATGTTCCATGATTTTTTCTAATAATTCTGGTTTGGCTCATAATATTAGTCTCATTCTGGGAATTTCTATTTACCATAATACTTTGAATTATTTAGGTCTTCCTATTTCTTGTAAAAGGCTTTTAATTTATTATTTTCAACCTTTAATGAATAAAATTATGGAGATGCTTGCCGGTTGGAAAGCTAGAATTTTATCTTTTGCTGGTAGAGTGCAATATAACAATTTTACTATTTCTAATATTATCTCTTCTTGGATTAGAAGGCTTTCTTTACCAAAAGCCTATTTAATTTTTTTCAAAAAAGCTTGTTCTAATTTTCTTTTTTATAGTGAGATTAATGTTAGAAGGATTTATATGATTGCTTGGAAGGATGTTTGCAAGCCTAAGATAGCGGGTGGCCTTGGTATTTCCAATCTACCTGCTTTAAGATTAGCTTTTAATTGTTCTCTTATTTGGAGGATTGTTAATGATCAAAGTCTGCTGGCAGTTTGGGTTAAATTTAAGTATATCTCTTGTTGGAAGCCTTGCTCACATAAAGACTCAAAATTTTGGAAAGATCTATGTGGTACTGCTAAAGATATTAAAATAATATCTCCTTTAAAATTGTTGATTCCGGTAAGTTATCTCTTATTTGGGATCCTTGGGTAAAAGGAAAGGCAATGAAGGATATTCTTTTTAATCATGAGGCTTCTATGTTACACCATAAGGAGGTGGGTAATAGGATTGAAAATGGTATCTAGGTTATTCCCTCTTATATTCCGGCTAACATAACTCAGGATATTTTGAATATCTCTATTCTAAATCAAGCCGCTTTTGCTATCTCTTGGAACATGGTTAAGTTGCCGGTTTTTTAGAATTTTTATTCTTTTTTCTTTATTAATTCTAGTAAGGTTGATTGGTTTAAATATGTTTGGCACAAAAATTATGCTTTAAGATTCTCTAGTTTTACTTGGATGGCTATGTTGAATGGGTTAAAAACTGCTGATCTTCTGATTAAGAGGAATATTATGGTGCCTAGTAATTGTATTCTGTGTAATAATGGGTATGAAAGTCATAGACATTTATTTTTTGAATGTGAATTTTCTTTTCAGATTATTTCTAAGTTTGTTCCTAATATTAATTTCTTTATGCTTAGACCGAATCTTATGAAAACTTTAGATTTTATTTGGAATTCGAAGTGGAATAAAGATGCCAAAAACCTTTACTTTTTATCTATTTGTTGTTCTCTTTATTTTATTTGGAAAGAGAGAAACTGTAGAAAATGGAGATTAAATTCAGCTCACAAGATTCCATTTATAATCATATCATGTTTGAGGTTCAAGCTAAAGTATTTAATTGGAGTTCTTACCCCAAAATTCATCACAGGATTATATAGATGTGGCGGTGGGAATTTTGGATGGACGATGATGTTTGGGCATTTTCTTTTTTTTTTTTTTCTTTTGGATGGCTAGTTTAACAACCAGGTTTTGCTGGAAGGTTAATCTAGCAACCATTGAAATGAAATATTATTATAAAAATATGATTATTTTCCCCTTATTTTGAGTTTATTTCTTCCTCTGCTTCAGGATGGGAAGTCTTGGATTGCTAGAAATTTTGTATTCCTAATGCTGTTTTGGGAATGATGGGTCTTTGGCTTATTTGGGCCGCTGTGGTTGTGCTCTGAATTTTTTAATCTGGAGGACTTTCTAAAATTCATCGGCAGAGTATTATTCGGTTTGTATGGAATAAAGTCTGGTAAGATTTTTTGTCCATTCTGATACTGTGTTTTTAATTTTTGCAGGTAGTCTGGAATGGTTCGGGATAGTGATAAGAAGAAAAGTTTTGGTTGCTATTGCAAGTTTGTTGGCTTGGATTTTTTGTGAAGTCTCCTTTTTATTGGTCTTCTGGGTGGAAGCTGGTCGGTTACGACTTCTTTTTATCGGCAGACTGTCTTTTATTTTTTTTTCTCCTAAGATCTGTTGTTTCTGGGAGGGTTTTTCTTTTAGTGAATATTTTTGTTTCTTTTTCTTAGGCTATGATTAGCTCTTTCTGTATTGCTTTTCATTTCTCTTGTAACCTTTCTATTTTTGGAATAAAATTGGATATGAATACCCCTATTTTTTTAAAAAAAATAATAATAAATAAATAAAAATGCATAAGAAAAACTATTGTTTTTTTTATCATTAATAACAGATATAAGCAATGGTTGAGCAATCGAATTGATGGTACCAATTCAACCAAATATGTGGATAAAGCTGTTACATCAAATGTTGAGATGATTTACACGAAAATTTGACGGATGACATCACTGAAAATAACTGGCTTTGACACTTTGCATCAGCGCAAGCTTGAATTACATTATTCCTTCTTTAATATGCAGCCAAAGTGTACACAAGCAATTTGGAAGCTGAACAGACAGGATTTACCAGTGACACTAAGAAATAAAGAGGCTGCATGCAAGCTCAAACAGTTAACTCAGACCTAGAAATTAGAATTCCGTCAGTATCAGCATAAAGCCACTCACCGTCACAAATTCTGGTTCCTGCAATGTTTACAGATACATGTTTCTCTCCAATACCCTTCTTATTAGCTTTCATTGGATGAGAACCAAGAGCTCTCACACCTATATCACATCCATTGATCTCATCAACATCGCGGATGCAGCCATTAACAACTATACCAGCCCAACCATTATTCTGAGCTTGTTGAACAGGATTGCCTCCTAAAATGGCGCAGCGCATGCTTCCGCCGCCATCTACAACTAAAACTCTGCCATTTCCTTTCTCCTCGAGGAACTCACGCACAAGAACATTGTCCTCAAAGACCTTTAGAGTCACGATTGGGCCAGAGAAAACCTGCCTCCGACCATAGATCTGGAAGGTAGGGTGGAATGCGCGAAGTTCACCATTCAATATCAATTGGGGATTTGCATCGCACAATTCAGCAGTTGCCAGAGGTAAAGCAGCCATTGAAGTTTACTGCAACTTCAGGAAAATAAATAACACGCCAATCAGTATGTAGCTGTGGTAAAAGTAGAATATGTAAAATAAAAACAGTAAAAATTAAAATACAACTGAAATAAGCCAAAAGAAATATAGTCACAATATGATACAAACTAAAATCAATCAATCTACATCTTGGATATTATCATCATAAATTCACCGACATCATTCAATTAGCCTTGTCCTAACAGCTTGACAAATAAAGTTAGGGGAGGCGACAAGAGTAACGGAATTAGGATTAAAATGAGTAGGGCGAATAAATAATTTAGAAGTCCATCCATAAGATTTAGCTGAAAGAAGGCTAACAGCTAATTCAGTTTGAAACAGTCACAGAGGAAATGAAGCATAAGAAAAAAACTATAAAAACCAGGAGGCATAAGTCTCGAGTGTGTATGTGCGGAGAGTCTACTCTCAATTTCATTCAACTAAAACCATAATCGGAATATCATATTTCAATACCGAGGGTGGATTCCAGCTTCTTGAATATGGCTAGGGTTTCTGCTCGGTTATGAAAGGAAATCATAGGCCATTCTATAGAGTTTGTACCTTTGTCTTTCTCCAGTGCCAAAGGCCGATTAAAGATAGCATCAATCTAAGAAAACGCCCCCTCAATTTTACATATTAAGAAATATTCTTTAGGGTTTCAAGAACAAAATAAATATTCCATTGGAGCTAAAAAATTCCACATCTAAAAACTCGAGCTTTATTTTTCCCTGTGCCCCAGTTAAATTTCTCCTGATATTTAGAAACATTTTAACTAAACTTAATGACTATGTTTAAGGCTTCGTTTGGGATGGCCTTTTACTGCTTTCTAAAATAATTTTTTAGTACAAAAATTTTCAAACGATGCCTAAAACTTACATGCTATTTGTCGAGCTTATTTGCAGTAGGCCCAAATCAATCCTTTCTCTAATTAAACGTTTTAATTCATGAATGCAAAGTTATTATCATGTTAAAAGCCAATTATCAACCTTTCATCTGCAATTTTTCTGTTGTCATGCATCTATATCGGAATTTCCCTCATTTAGACATTCCCTGATGCAAGGTGCTCGCTGTTACGCCGGCCCAGGAGGGGCCGGCTGGACCGGTCCAGCCCGGACCGGTCCACTGTTTCTACAGGCGGAAAAAAACGGGCGGAGCGCGACTCTGAGCGGAAACGGGGGGTGAGCCGCGTGGGTTTGGGGAGCGTTTGGAGGGAAATTTTGAATGTTGAGGGCTGTTTTAGGAAGTTTGTAATTGTCCTTTGTCTTTAATTAGGAGTTTTGGGTGTGAATGGGGGATTATCTTGCATTTTGGAATATTGTTGAGATCTAGGTTTTCTTGTTCTTGGGCTCTAGACTACGGCTAGAGATTTGGAGAGTTTTTCCTTCCTCTCGAATCGAAGGAAAGTTGTATCTTACTTGTCTCTTGCATCTACTAGTGGAATACAATCATTTGCTATTGATTTCCTATGTTTTCTCTCAGTTTTCTCCACTTTTCCGCTGTTTTTCACTGTTTTCCTGTGCGGGACAGCATTTGGCGAGGAGATTTGCACTAGAGACGCATAGGAAATACTTGATCTCAAGTATTTCCTATTACTCGCCAACACCTAAAATCGATACTTCCTAAAGTTTTAATTCATCCTTAACAGTTGGAAAAATAATTTTAATAATCAATAGACTGTTTAGCATGTTTATAAGTTCCTCTGATGCTCTAGCAGAATATTTGCTTGTTTAATGAACTCGAGTCATAAATAATAACTTTTCTTCCGTCTTTGCAGTTTGCTTCCTTCCAAAAATAAAGTAAAAATGCAGATCGATTACACTATCTCAAATCTAATGGAACTAAATGGGCGCAGTAAAAATTGGAGACATGGGTAGTCCTAGGCCACACAAGTTGCATTTAATCAAACCAGTACCTTAAGAAGCATTAATATGTGCTACAAGCAAAATAAATTTTGATTAAATTCCCCAACATATTGAAGTAGATATATGACTAAAAATAAGTGACCACATTTATAAGTAGCGCTAGGATTGAAAAATTTTAGACCAAAATGTAATATATATATATAATTTTGCATTGAAAAGGAAAGTGGGGATCAAGGCGTCGTCGAGGATGTGGCAACACCGACTCTAGGCTTGTTGGAGGCGTCAGTAGAAGTGTTGACAGGCAAGCAACTCTGGGGCAAGGCTGGAGGTATGCCAGTGCCTCACTCCCCTATCCTAAATCTTCTGACTTCCCTCTCCTCGATCACACTAGAGGAAGTTGCTGCAACGTTGATGGCTTCGGAGAAGATGATGAATCTCCAGGCATCGGTGAGTCCAGCAGATACTTGCTCCAAGAAATGAGGCGTCGCCAATCTGCAGAAAGAGGTGGGTGAGTTGAAGGAGATGGTCGCCTTTACTCAACGACAGGTGGTAGTAGCAAAGGAAGATGTGCGGTCTGAGAGAGCCAAATGGGGCAGGTGAAGTTGAGAAGTTTCCAAGTTAGCAGCAAGTATCTGCCGGACTACTTGGAGGCTTGGAGCAAGTTGGTGGGCTAACACCAACCATGGTGAACAATCCTATACATGGGTGCCTCATGGCAACTGACAACCTGCACTTTGAAGATTTTTTTTTTTTTATTTGCCCCTGGGTGGCAAGTTCACTATAATGTGAAACATGTTATTTAATAATGATTCCCCTTATTTCATTTCAAGATGAGCATCTTTGGATTTGCATGTTTATTTTGATGCGATGTTGAGTAAACAAAAACTGCGTCACAATGGTGATTTTACAAGAGAAAACAAAGCGCATACGACTCCCGAAAAGGAAGTTGATGAGAAAATGAGGAGATTTGGGCGAGTGAGAAGCAGATCTCGTCATAATGAAAGGATCTTCACAATTAATGCTGGACAAATCACCATCTCGGTATACGTGCAATGTGCTTCCGTATGAATAAGGAGGGTCTGATCCTTCAACGAGACCCCTATTCAAAATCGTTCTGTCCCGATTTCTTTCTTGCCAGCTTCTTATTTTGTGATGGATCTATGCGGTACGATTTCTCATTTGGTAGCTTCTTATTTTGGGTGAGCAAGGGCGAGTTAGGATTTGATGACTCTTTAGGTTTCATTATTCATATGCTTATATTTTCCCTTTCTTCTTATTCCTTTGAGGGTGAGCTTATTATGATAAGAACCTTTCATATCAGGATGTGGGTTGCCTTAGCTACTTGGTAAGGAATAAAGGGCGGAGTTCACTCGAGTGGTGACTTTCCTTCACTTGGGAGCTTTGACTTGCCTACAGGACTTGAATGCCTCCTAAGGGATATGGCTCTCTTATAGGGAGTACTACTCGAACCTATGTAGGGACTTGATTGCTTCCCACCACAGTTGGTCACATTCGACTATTGTAAGGTCGTGTGTCTAAGACTCGTTGAATCCATTTCTTTTAGGTCTATCAGAAGCATGCCTATGTGTGTGTTTGCACACAAACCAGGTCTTGGCATCTCAAGTTCCCCATGTGCTTGAGTAACCGTCCTGTATGGGAGAATCCTTTCTATTATTTATAGATCTCAAGGTTACACGACTTCTAAGAGTATTTTTGAATTACGAAATTATCATTTTTATACGAAGGACTCGTATATTCAAGTTAAAATGAATAGAATGAAGGGAGAATTCATATTGTCTTTTTAAAAAGAGTACATGTATAAATGCAATAAAGAGGTTTCCCATTCATGGACAAAATGTCTTCAGGTCATCAGCACTCCACGTTCTTTGTAGTTCTCATATGTTGTGTTTGTACATGATAGGCGTTGAGGCCGACTTATGCATTGATGATGTAAGAGCCTTCTTAGGTGCTAGCTAGCTAGCCGATCATAGAATGACAAGCGACTATGTCCTCTTTCTTCAAAATTAGGGTGTCAGGTTGGGAAGCATTCTCCCTAACATGTTTGTTGTACTATTTGGTCTTTAATCTTTTCACCTCCTCTTGCCTTAAAGTGGTCTTTAATCTTTTCACCTCCTCTTGCCTTAAAACGGCCTCAGCTATGTGCTCCTCTAATAGATCAGTTGTCGTTTGCAATCCTTCTTGGTTGGTTGCTTCCCATTCGTTGAGTTTAAAATCTCCACCTCTGATACCAATGACCACTCGCTGGCTTTACAGGCTGAGTTCGATCTGGAGTATGGCCTGAGGCCATGGGAGAGTGAGTAGGGTGTTTGCCCAGTTATTGAGGAAGGCATGATTCTGAGCACCTAAAGTACTAAGGGGAGCACGTTGACCCATTTTCCTTTAATCCCTTCTATGTTCTTAATGAGGAGATTCATATTCAGCACGTTGCCGACTTTGACTTGACCATTGATATGAGGATGGTGGACTGAGACGAACTTGATGTGGATTCCCTATGAGTTGCAAAATTTTTTCAAGCTCTGGTATGTGAATTGGGGCACATTATCAATGATGATGGTGAAGGGAATGTTGTATTGGCAGATGAGGTCAATCTAGATGAAAATTCTCACGATGGTAGAGGTCATCCGAGCAAGCACCATGGCCTCTATCCACTGGGTGAAGTAGTCGACCATGACCAGGATGAATTTCCTTATTCCTGTGGATGGAGGAAATGATCCCAAAAAGTCCATGCCCCAAACCATGCATGTCCAAGGGCTATTAATGTTCTATAGCTTTTGTAACTGCTGAAGCTACATGGGGCAAATTTTTTATATTACAAGTATTATTTAGAGAATTCTTCGGCATCTTTCCTCGAGATAGGCTAAAAATAGCCTTGTTTAAAAAATCAATGGGCGAGTGTCTACCTCTAGAATGACTCGCATTTTTCCGAATGAATTTCCTTCAACATTGTCTCCTTTTCTTGTTCTCGTACATAATTTAAATATATTGAGGTTGTCGATCTTCTAAATAACTCCTCCCTTAAGAGTAAATAGTTTGCTACTTTGATCTTGAATCGCCCCGACTTGTCATCTTCAGCATTGATGATTCAAGTCTTCAAATATTCAACGTAGTGGTCGA